CCCCAAAACCCCAAAACCCCAAAACCCCAAAACCCCTTTCAATTTTAATAAATTTGAAACTATACTGGTGAAATTATTTGAAGAACTTCGTAACATTGCTCTTCTGCATCTCTTCAATCTTACCTAAAACTTTCCCTTTGGTCTTTGTGTAAACTTTCTTGAGCTGATAATTTCGTCTTTTTAGCTCCTCAATTTTAGCTGCTTCTGATTTATCAGCTACAAAATCATCCTGAGTAAGCTCATAGAAAGTTTTTCTTTTCTTAAAATCAGATTCAAGCATTTTGCACAACAACCTTTTAGTGTCCATATTGAACTTCTTTGAGATGGTGTAATCTCCTTTGATGATTTTATTATACAAATCTCGATTGGTAATTCCTTTGAATGGGAATTTCCCACAGATTAAAGCATAAAATACAACTCCGAGAGCCCATACATCCCCTTTTTCATAGTCGAATTCTACCCTTTTGATGATTTCAGGTGCCATATAGGAAGGCGTACCTCAATATGTACTGGATTTTTCGCCTTTAGTGTACTTCAATGCAAACCCAAAGTCTATTACTTTAATTCCTTTCACTGGAAGATCCAGATTTTCAGGTTCGAGTTGGTCATTCGTAACCAGGATGTTGTCTAACTTGACGTCTCGATGAGCAATACCGCTCTTATGAACATATGCAAGAGTCTTGAGGATCTCTTTGAAAATGAGACCAGCCTCCTGTTCTCCAATACGGGATGATTTCTCCTTTATGTACTTATAAAGAGACATTCCTTTGACGTATTCAAGTACGAGATAGATCTTACTCCGGTCTTCAAATACCTTAACCAGCTTGATGATGTTCGGATGGCCCAGAGCTTTTAAAACTGTAATTTCGTTATATAGATTAAGCCTCCGATGTTTATTCGTGAACAATTTGTTCTTCTCATAGATCTTCACAGCGACCTGGATGGAGATCTCTCCAGGAGGGACAATAGATTCCCCCAGCTTGACGACAGCATAACTACCAGTGCCCAAGACAGTAGAACTTATTGTATATTCCTTTTCGATTTTTCCGCTACTGATGTGGTACTTCAATGAGTTCATGTCATTAAATTCCTTTCTCAGCTTAATCTTAGGATCAGGAATGGATATCTTAGATGATGGGGTCACTGTCTCAGCTCTTTTCATACGCTTAGTCAAATCTCTCGAGGTTTCTTTCGCTCGAGCTCTGCGAGAGCTCGGACGAGAAATGTTATCATTCCGAGTACTCTCCTTAAGCTTATGAGAACCCATAATTTTGGGTTGATATGGCCGCTGAGAAGAGCTTTGCGTAGGATGATGGAAAGTGTAACTCATAGGCCGAGAACGATTGTGACTGGTAGTCACTCTCTTACTCACTAACTTTCTCTTATTTCTCATCAGATGTAGGCTCATTCTGTGATTGTTGGGCATACGGAGTGATAGAACTTTCATTATTAACCCGATAACTCATTGGAATGCCTGAGTTCGAATTTTCGATGTACAAAAATTTGTTCATTGCTGAAGCTTGAGAGGAAGATCCCGATCCTTGTGTCCTTCTTATAAGCCTACTATCCAGCTTCCCTTCAGTCTTAGCTCTCGTCTTTGACATTGTCTTTGTGCTCACACTATCTGGGATACTCTCATTTGTTTGCACCATCAAGTAAGAACTCAATGGTGTCCCTTGATTTCTATAGGCTGAGGGAGGTTTATGTATCAACGATTTAGCCTTAATAACCTTTGCTTCTGGATTAGTCGGATTAATGGGTTGACCATTCTTAGGTGTTACCTTAGGAATAGGGTACTTCTCTTCATTAATACGTCGATTAATTGGAGGCTTCGATCCTAATTTGATTATGACTGGTTTATTTAAAATCATTTATCTGAGTCAGCTATGCACTCAGATCCCTCTTTATCTCTTTCCTTATTTGAAAAAAGGAGGAGTCTGGGCTAGCGATCTTCGGAGCAGTATACCCTTAGTACAGTCCTTGTCTTCCTCCTTCGACTTATTGTGTTCAGTTGCATAAGTAATCTTGTTCCTTGATGAAGTATTATTTGTAATTAAGCTTCCTACATATTTCCTTGTAATTTTTGTCTGAGGAGGTTTTCCCTGGCTATCCTGTTTTGAGTTGATAACTATATTCTTTTAAGATGTTAACAAAATACCAAAGAATGTTTTAAAGAAACTTCTGTGGGGACTTACTTCTGCTTCATATTTATGATTTTCTTCTCAAATTCTTTACCTAAAAGGAGTTATTTTTGTCCAGTACAGCTTGAGTACAGTCAAGTCTCTAATTTCTCTACTCAAGCTCAAAAAATCTTCTAAAAAATACTCAAAATTTTAAAAGAAAATTCAGAGAAATTTGGATAATTACATACAATTAGTCCTCTTTATAAATAACCTCTCTGCCATTTTTATCTAAATTTATGAATCAACGGAAATGGATAAAGAAGGGGTTTTGGGGTTTTGGGGTTTTGGGGTTTTGGGG